ATAAATATAATTGAAGAAAGGGGTTAAGAATCTAAAATGATAAAAATAACCATTCCCTCTCTTGTCATATGAATAAGAGGGCTGAAATGCTGAATTCATTGTATGAAAAAACCAATATAACGCATCTCTCTTTCTCACTATCTGTGTGGATATGTACATAGATGGGTAAACTTACTACATCCATCTCAATAACATTCTCAGCTTCTTCATAATCAGCCATGTCAGGAATATCTTCTTCATCTTCACCACCAAAGTATGAAGGGATTGCCTTAACAGTCTTGTCATTGCTGGTTTCTAAGGATTCCATGGAAGGCAAATTTTCCTCCACATCATTTTTATCTACCAGTGGGGAAGTACTATAAGTCTGAATTCCCATTTAAATTCCAATCCAAGGCAACTTCAAGAAATAAGATACCTTTAGGCTTTCCATGGGTTGCCAACCAACCATCATTATCTTCATTATCAAGAAGAATCTCCCCTTCAGCAGCTTCATATTCTTCTTCCACAGATGCAGCTCTCCTTAGGCAAGGTACTAAACAGAAAAATTGATAATTACATGGCCTATTATTTTCACTCAAAAAAGTAGAGCATGGAAAACAATGATCACAGAACTTAAATGATTCAGCGCAATAGACATCGGGACGTGAAATAATATTCAAAATAAGGGCATTTCAATTAGTCCACTCAACCATATAAAAAGATCATTGCCAGAATGATTGGTTCTGAGCATCAAAATAGGAAATGGATTTTCCTCTCTAAAAATGGTGTTCCACAAGGGAGAGAATCAGACATGGTTAAATGGAATTTGGTGAGGATTGGAGAAAAGGGGGAAAGGAGGGAATTTTCAAGCATCAATGTCAACAATTATCCTTGTAATGACAAGGGAAGTTTCACTACCAAGACATGGTTATGCATGGGCCCATTCCTGTCACCACCAGCACCATGGAAAGGGAAAGGCAATATTGAATTGGTGGTTCACTAAAGCAATATCAGAAAATTAATTATCTCTTGTTGAAATTCATGTAAAGCTGCAATAGATTAAAGTCCAAAGGTGCAATCATGCAAATATATTCTTCCATGCATCCATCCTCACAGGCCTCAACTATAACTGGTAAGTCAATTAAAGGGAATTATAACTTACAAAAAAACATGATAAGCAGGTTCAATTCAATAGTCAATTTCATTTCACAAATTAGCATCAGAAATCCAAATGCAAGGTAAACCATTAGGATGTAACTATTAACAGCATGGCATGTAACACAAGAAAAACCAAACGGGAACAATGTAAGCATACAACTATCTCAGTTACCATTTCTAGTAATCAGGTACTGCTTCTCCGGTGGTAAGTATGACTTTCTCTTGCTTGGCTCGCCTGATTCCCTAACATTATACAACATACTGAGCAAACTACTTCACCAAGAAAAGTACAAGAAAAAGAATGGAAAGGGAAAACTAAATGAATTTTTGCCTACAAATAAAATGATTCAGAGAAGAAAATTTTGCCGGTTACTGTACTGATTACTCTACATGCAAGCTGCTTTACACAATTTTCTCACGCTTCCAATTATTCAGTGAAAATCTCACTACCAGTAAATATGCAATTATTTACCAATTATTTCTTCAGCACCTCAAACTCAGAATTAAAATCAATTTTCCAACAAAATCTTTCACCATGGCTCCTGGATACCTATTTTCTTTTAGTTTTTCGAACTACATCACGATTGCCGGAACTTCTACAAAATGCTAAGCCCTAGGGAAACCGCAAGCTATTTTCCTTCTCTTATCCTAACGTTAACGCCATAACCAATTCACGATGGAGATCCTAAAACTATCAATGGAAAGATAAAAATGCAAATTAACAACTCAAGCATGATTTTCCAAACATGAAACATCTCGATTACATGAGGAAATACCACAGATTAAAAACATGTTTGCGTGAAGATGAAATTACCAGGACCAGGTAGGGCATTTGGACACAAGATTATCTCTCCGGCGAGGATGAACTCCGGCACGCTTAAAACTCCTTTCTCTTTGAAAGCGGAGACTGTACGAGGACCGGTGAACCTCTCCACCGTCCCTTTAAACGCTTCGTGTAGCCTCTGCGACGACAACATCTCTCCCTCCGGTGACAATCAGAATCAAATTGAGTGAAATGCAATCAGAAACGGGGACCTAGGCCAACTATTCTTTTTGGGCCTTCTCCTAGGCCCACTATTTGATATGGCCCATTTGAAATTAAAATTTGCTTTTGAACTTGGCTTGTTTGGAAGTAAGTGTTGGATCATACTTGTACCGATAAGTTTTAAATTTTTTAATATTTTAAAAATATATTTTATATATTTTACATATTTTATATTTATTTTTATTAATATTTTATAAATTAACATAAGTTAAGAGTTTTTTTTTTCATAAATATATCTATAATATATAAAATTTAATATTAATTTTAATATTATTGTTAAATAAATTAATTTAATTAGATAATTAATAAATTAAGGTCAACTTTTATTTTTTCAACTTAAATATATAATAAAAAATATATTTATTACACTTTTAATATATATACTTACAACCCATATTTTATATATTCTCGATATAGTAAAAAGATTAAAAAACCAAAAATTAAAACTCAAAATGAAAAGACATAATAGAGTTTGGACTATATTAAATTATAATACATTAACTATTAAATGAAAATTGGTAATATTAAGTTTTTTTCTTCATGTAATAATTTATATTTTATAATTTGATATAATTTAAATTATAAAATAAAATTTTTCACTCCAAAAAAACATTTTCAAACTGGGTCTTGAACAAGTTCTTAAACCTCCCTCTCCAAGAGAAACTGTTAAAATAAAGTTCCGATGGATATTAGAGATTCAGAGGTGTTTCACTAAAATATTTATAATTTTTTTACTAATTTTTTTCTGTTTTTTTGTTTATCGTTTCTCCGTCGTACTTTGACGAAGATTTAAGCTTATGATTTTTTTTTTAACTTTCCAATGTAACCCAGTGGACCACACTCATTTATGAGAGCAGATGAAGTT